TAAGAGCTCTTTCATCCTATCTCCCTTGTCTTTGCTGCTCACAATTCTTTTTCTCTTATCAACTGTTGACAAGGCGGGGGGGGGGGGGGGGGAGTGGAGGAATCAAATTAGGGACAAATCTGTTTTGAGTGTTCTCTAAGAATTTGTTACATTTAAGATTTAATTATAAATCATTTCTTGACTAACAGAAGCAATTCACACTGTATTGGTTGTGATCATCTTGGACCTTATAAAATAACAAACTAACTGGGGCTTTATCTTAAACATTGTAGACTATTTGCAATTCTTTGAATTGAATGGTTATATTTTAGTACTTTGCTGTGGGTGACAGTAGATGATGTCAGATTAAGTTTAATCGATCTCCTCTCAATGTTTGTATCTGGCGCATGGGCAATTTCTTCAGCACCAGAGAACCTTTCAGAGGCATTCTGTCAATACAACTACCTGACAGTCATTTGTATTTGTAAACTGTGCATTTGGCACCTGCTGTTCTCTGTTGCTTTGGAGCTAGTGGGGAGCTAAAATGGGTGTACAATGAAGTTATTGGTTGGTACATCTCTGTGGGAATTATTGAAGGGAAGAAAGAAACAGCACTTGCAGAACCTTAGGAAAGGATAAAAAGAAAAAGAAACTGGTAATATTAACACTAGCCGGCTATTCTTTGCTACCAAAAAGTCAGTCAGTTCTATTGTTTGTTGACCTGTATTTTAATTCTTGTAACAGATATGTAAAACAAAGGGTTTCTATTTAAATGTATATGATGCATTTTTTTAAATATCACAATCTCCATAGAAGACAATTCATGGGAGCAGAAATATAAACTAAAACAAGCAATGGAAAAATGCTTAATTTCTGAAGAAATGGAAATTAAAATGCAGGTGTCTTTTACTTACTAAATTAGCAAGGCTAATTTTAATAAAAAAATAGAGGTGCTGTTAAGATTTCAAAGAATAAACAGGTAGACAAGTAGTAGCAAAAACTGGTTGATGTTTTGTATGTGTAATTTGCCCACACTTTGTAAAAAGTTCTTATTATTTAATCCAATACTCCTACTTTATTGGCTACAGTTCAAGGATTTTTTTTTTTTTTTTAAGGCTGATACATAAGTCCTCACTTAACATCAACAGTAGGTTCATGGAAACTGGAACTTAAAGCAAAACAATGTATAACGAAACCAATTTTATCATAGGCTAATTGATAATAAATAAGAATTCTTATGGTATATTTCTGGTCACCAAAACTTTTAAATGAAGACCCAAAACGCCTCTAATATTAAACATTGAAATAAATGTAAGTCTTACATACATTTAGGAAAGATTAATAAAACAAGAAAATCATTTTCCACCCTGCCCATTCCAGTTCCAGGTGGCGGATGGCCAGAGGCTATCCTGGCAGCTCAGGGTGCAAGGTGGGATCCAACTCCAGACACACTGCTCTTCCATCACAAGGCACACTAACACACATCCACACTCACACTAGGACAGTGTAGACACACCCGTTTACCTCCCCTGCACATCACTGTGGGAGGAAACTGGGGTCTTCAGGGGAGACTCATGCAGGCATAGGGAGAATGCCCCAACTTCACACATCCAGAGAGGTCCCAGCCAGGAATCGATTTTCTTTTCCCTCTTTAACATTATAATGAAATGACATTATTCGAGCACCTGCTGTATATAAGCTTTATAATGGTCTGTTTTACTACAACGTGTATCTCTGTGCTACAGATTTGCTTATGCCCTGATTAGTAACTAGGGGAATGATGTCAATATACAATGAGTTGTGTTGGTTCATTTTATTTTCCTCAATGTTTTGAAACCACCAAAGCAAGTGTTTTCACCATTAAAGAGAATGCCTTAGTGGTGTGTGAAGACCTAAACAAAACAAAACAAAAATAACATACCAGTTTCATGGCCTTAAGAAGTGCTTTTGTGGAGAAACTAAGATGGCGGCATAGATAAACACCGGGAAATTGCTGCCTCCCACAACAACTTCAAAGATACAACAAAAAGACAAAACGGACTTCATCCAGAACTACAGGAAGGCTGGCTGAGTGGAAATTCTACAACTAGAAGGAAAGAAAAGCACACTGAGAGCCAGAGGAGCTGCGGAAGTAAAGTGCAGAGGTACGGAGGCTCAGGCTTGCGCGCCCAGAAAGGGGCTGGCACCTGAGGACGGGGCTGTCTTTCTGAATTGGGAGGGAGTCATAAGCTCCCAACTGCTCTGAACTCAGGTTCCGGGAAGTCTCTGGGGACCCAGGACTCATACGGGGAGAAACTGGACTGTCTGGCAGCAGGCAGAACTCGGAACTTGAGGGCGGCTTTCCCTCAGAGGTGCTTGCAGCAATTACCAGGACACTGAGACGCGCGGCCCCTTAGGGCAGGGCTGAGAATCCGCCATAGCTGCTTGCTCCACCCTTTGATTCCCTGAGACCCCGCCCCACCCAGGCTGCAGCAGAGGCTTTTGCATATGAATGCCCAGGCCCTTTGCAACCTGAAAATTACCTAACTGCAGCTGGGCCAGACAGACCCAGAACTTCCAAGAGAAGGCCCAAGGCCCCAGAGTGGCTTGCATTGCTTCACAGCTGGGCCTCATCAGGGCACCTCCAAACTCCAAAAAAGGAAGGGGAATCTGCAGTTCTCTTCGTAGCTCCTGCTGTGTAACCTCAGGCAGAGGCTAAATTAGCACCTCCTTAGATCCAAGAGCCAGTGTACCCAGTGGTCAGAGGGGGACCATCCAGATTACAACTCCTCAGATCCATAAGGGACACACTCAGGGGGCAGACTCAGTGAGCACCAAAGCCCCACTGAAGCAAGTCTTGCCCCAGAAGGGTGTCTTCAGCACAGAAGTTCTCCCACTGCAGACACAGCTGATTCTCACTGCCAATTGGCCTGGAGGTCAATTCCTCCCAGTGATCCTACAACAATCAAGGCATAACTACAATAAGACTGTGCAAAAAGCCCACAAGGGGGTACACCAAGAGTGTCCACCTCAAGTAACTGGGGAGGCTGAGCCACTGGGCCCTACAGGACACTTAGCACACAAAACCACTCTACCAACACAGGGAAGCATAAAAAATGCAGAGACAAAGAAACAGGTCACAAATGACAGAAATGGAGGAAAGCAAACAACTGGATATAGAGTTCAAGGCCACGTTTATAAGGTTTTTCAAGAATTTTATGGAAACCGCCGATAAATTTAGTGAGACCCTGGAGGATATGAAAAAAGGCCAACTAGAAATTAAGCATACACTGACTGAAATAAAGAATAATATACAGAGATCCAACAGCAGACAAGACAGGATCCCAAGAATCAAGTCAAAGATTTGAAATACGAAGAAACAAAAAATACCCAACCGAAAAAGAAAAAAGATGCCAAAAATATGAAGCTAGTGTAAGGAGCCTCTGGGACAACTTCAAGCGTACCAACATCAGAATTATAGGGGTAACAGAAGAAGAGAAAGGGCAAGATATTGAAAACCTATTTGAAGAAATAATGACAGAAAACTTCCCCTACCTGGTGAAAGAAATAGACTTACAAGTCCAGGAAGCGCAGAGAACCCCAAACAAAAGGAACCCAAAGAGGACCACACCAAGACACATCATAATTAAAATGCCAAGAGCAAAAGACAAAGAGAGAATCTTAAAAGCAGCAAGAGAAAGAAACTCAGTTACCTACAAGGGAGTACCCATACGACTGTCAGCTGATTTCTCAACAGAAACCATGCAGGCCAGAAGAGAGTGGCAAGAAATATTCAAAGTGATGAATGCCAAGAACCTACAACCAAGATTACTTTATCCAGCAAAGCTATCATTCAGAATAGAAGGTCAGATAAAAAGCTTCACAGATAAGAAAAAGCTAAAGGAGTTCATCACCACCAAACCAGGATTATATGAAATGCTGAAAGGTATTCTTTAAGAAGAGGAAGAAGAAAAAGGAACTCTTACCATTTGCCACAGCATGGATGGAACTGGAGAGCAGATAAATACCACATGATCTCACTCATTTGTGGAATATAATGAACAACATAAACTGATGAACAAGGACTGATCCAGAGACGGAGAGGCATTGATTGGACTGTTGGGCCTTGGAGGGAAGGTAGGGGAGGGTGTGGGGGTAAGGGGGAAAGATCAACCAAAGGACTTATATGCAAGCATATAGGCCTAACCAATGGACACGGACAATGGGGGGAGGGGGGGAGGGAATGAGCGGGGGGGGGGGGGGGTAGAGGGAACGTGGGGATAAGGACACATATGTAATATCTTAATCAATAAAAAATATATTTTTAAAAAAAGTGCTTTTGCTTTTCACAATGTTAAGCTATCCAGTGAAGCTGCTCCTTTGGTTAAACAAGTTTCCCACTGTCCTTAAGGGGGGTGCGGGGAAGGACACACATGAAAAAGCTACACCATGCCTTAGATTATTTGATAAGACTAGTTCTGGTTCTGCTGGCCGTAAATGCCCTCAAGGGCCTGCCTCTCAAAAAGGATTCAGAAGCTCCAGGTTACAGCCATGGAGGATTATCTGGCTGACATAGGCTCCAATGCTGGTGGAGGCTAAGGAGTGCTAATATTTTTGTTCTAGGCTTTGTTTAGACTCTGGTTATAAAGCTACATAGTTTTGAGTGGCTAATATTCCCAAGCCTTGTTATTTTCAGTGTGATGTTGTTTTTTTAGTTATAGTAATTCAGGAAAAAATATACATGCCCAACAATAAGGGATGGTTAAGTAAGTTTTAGGATAACATCTTGACAGACTGATGCATCTGTGAAAACGGTAAGCATAGAAAATTTTCTATGTAACAAGTGCAGGAATTAGAACACAAAACTGAGTATCTCGATAAGATCACAGCTGTATAAACATGTTCGACATATACCTGGTCTGTTATAGTTCCAGTAGGATGGTGGAATTATAAATAAAATTTTAAAAAAATTATGTGAAGTTGATAAGAGGTAAGTCCATTTTAATAGCTTAAGCTAAATTTTTATTTGACTTTGGTTTTAGAATTCCTGGAAGACTCAAGCAGTTTGTGTTTGACTTACATTCTGGAAAACTTCACAGAGAATTCCATCACGGTCCTGACCCAACTGACACAGCCCAAGGACAGGTAGCACTCATGCTTTTCAGGGGGAGCTTTTTTCTTTTTCAACAGACTCTAGATAATGTACAAACTATGTTCTTTTTAAAATTAATTTTTAAAATTTCAGACCTTCAGAAAAGTTACAGGAATGTTGCAGTATAGTTTTTTGGTCTGAGTATGCCATCTGTGGAATATGGCTCTGAAAGGAGTGAAGATAGTTGGCTTCAGGTAGAAGTAGGAGATAGGAAATGGAAGTAGATAGATCAGTGAAATCAGTGGATTCCATTAATTGTTCAGTCCGTCCTCTGTGGCTGGAAGATTGACCTCAGTATGAAGAAAATAATTTGGTATTCTTGCAAATCATCCTAAGAGCCTCCTTTACCAATACAGTATTCATAATGCTCAAAACTTATAGTTTAGCCCTTATGGTTTGGCTCAGTGGATAGAGCGTCAGCCTGCGGACTGAAAAATCCTAGGTTTGATTCCGGTCAAGGGCATGTACCTTGGTTGCAGGCACATCCCCAGTAGGGAGTGTGCAGGAGGCAGCTGATCGATGTTTCTCTCTCATTGATGTTTCTAACTCTATCCTTATCCCTTCCTCTCTGTAAAAAAATCAATAAAAAATACTTTTTTAAAAGCTTAGTTTAATGCAGCTTTCCAATTGAGATTGAGAATGCTTGACATTTTGTATTGAATATATATATATTTCTAAAAACCTGAGATTTTACCCCTCAATTTGCATTTTGATTCATTTTTGATTTATATCCCCCACTATACCAAGAGGGAAGATGATATATACCAAACTCTATTTTATATGTTCAAAACTTCAATCTATTCTTGTGCCCAAAGAAAAATAAAGACTAAGTGAAATTTTCTTCACTTTGAGTCAAATTAAGTTGAGAATCAAGAGTTCCCTTTGGGAATCTGATGACATGCTTTTTCCTTGAAATCTTCAGTCAGACTTTTCTTTGATAATTAAGCAACTGTAGAAGCAGGCACATTGTTGGCAATAATCCAGGTGATTATTTTCATCAGAAAAGTCAGCCTGCTTAGTGTTTTATCATATTATGAAAGGATGTAGCTTATTATTGTATTATCCTGATTTGTTTCAACTTCTCCATTAGGCTGTTGAATTCTTTATATTTTGTCATCTTTGTGTACTAATGGCATTAAATACATGTTTGTTTATAGTAATATAATTTCAGCTAAATTAAACCAAACATATACTTCAACAACAAAAAAATGAAAAAATATATTGGGGAAGTGAAACATGGCCAAGTTATATGGGAAGTTTGTAGGCACATTTGTTTACCATTATAATGCAGTTGTGCCATTAGATATAGGATGTAACATATGTACTATGTGCCTATGTTAACTACAGGGAATATTAAAAGAATGACAATCATGCTTGCTCTTGAAGAGCTTATAGTGTGGAAATACAATATAGAATACACTGCCTTTTCTTAGAAATTCTTGGAAGTCACTCTTACAATTCCACTGTATTTTTATCTACTGTATGTGAACAAGTAAAATAATGCAGAAATTAATTTCTTGAAGTATTATATTGAAGTGTTTATTTTCCTCATGTTAATTTTTAGTTTTATCATTTCTGGCATACAGGTAATTGTAATTCTGGCTACAGAATAGGTGCCTTTAATTTTCTTAGTCATTTGTAAGAGGGGAGGGTTCGGGCCAACTTAGTCAAGAGTTGTGCTGTCTCTATAGAATATTCTAGGAATGTGCCCAGGTGTCAGGTATTTTGTTTCCTTCCTTTGCACCACAGGAACTGTCAACAGGTCCATATTTAGTGGCTTTGTGGCAGCCCTGCCGTGGAGAATCTGAGTAAAGGCATATATGAAATGGGGAAAGCAAGATTTCAAACTTAACTCTCTTTGGCACAGAGTAGCTAACTTTTATTGATTATTAAATAATTATAGGGCAACTACCAGTCATCTAATGCTCTTATTGAAATATTATAACTCCATAAAATATATTGACATAAAAATGTTTTATTCTTTCTCTTTAGGACGCCCAGGATGTAGCAAGTAGTCCCCCCGAGAGCTCTTTCCAGAAACTAGCACCCAGCGAATATAGGTATACTTTATTGAGAGATCGAGATGAGCTTTAAAAACTTGAAAAACAATTTGAAAGCCTTTCAAACAGCAGCATCAACGTGGTGGAAATAGTAAACCTATATTTTCATAATTCTATGTGTATTTTTATTTTGAATAAACTGAAAGAAGTTTTGGGTTTTTAATTTTTTTTCTCCCCCGACTCAGAATGCATTGTCACTTAATATAGCCTCTTTTAAAAACTCTTGTAGGGTCCAAAACAAAACAAAAAAACCACAAACAAACAAGAATCAGAGGCCTATCTATTTTAAATCTGTCCTGTAAAATTTTTAGAAATTAAGTGAAAGGTGACATTACCAGAAACAACCATCGACTCGCACTACTAGGTCAGGGAGGACTTAGGGATGTTTCCTGTGTACTATGTGCTTTTTCTTCTTCTCATTACATATGATCAGTTCTGTTGGTATTTTCATTATCACATTTCTCCAAGTTAAAGGGGCACATATTCTGGATACTTGGGTGGGGAATAAATTAAAATGTCCACACTGTGTACTGTGTTTTACTGATTGGTTGACTGTTGCTTATGAAAATTCCATAGGGGTATATTTTGGATTCTTAATGTGTAACTTAAACATACTTTGAAGAGGAGAACCATAGCCAGAACATTTGGCAGGAATTCTCCTTGAATTAAGAAAAAGAAAATGAAAGGTGTTATTAAATTTCTATGTGTTTGTCTAACTGAATTATATCTAAATCTGGGAAAGGAAAATCCTAGTGGAGCAGGTTACCAGTATTGAACTAGATGACTTTTAAGGCTCCTCCGATCATGACACTTCAATTTCCAAAGAGAAAAACCAGCAAATTGTACTTCAATAATTCTAACCTCCTCCTTTCTTGTAATCTTGTTATGAATTGTATAGGTCAAAAATGAAGACAATAGGCACATAAGTTTTTAGTTTTTTACATTGTGAAACTATCAGAGGACCCTACCCTCTAGATTCTCTGATCTCCAGGCCTGCAGTGTACAGTCAGATGGGTCCCTGTGCCAGGCCTCAGGACTGCCAGGGAACAAAAACAGAGGGCGAGGACCCTCAGTATCATATCAGGAAGCCCAGTGCCAGAGGACAGACAGGTTCAACATTGGCTTTCCTCTGGGCTTGGGTTGGTGCTATAGGCCAAGAGTCATTTTATATTTGGAGTCTAAGTCAATCCCAGTTTGGGGAGAGATTATTTTTAAGCTTAAAAGGCTGACATGTGCCATTATATGTAGTATGTAATATATGTAACATCTTCCAATTCTTTCAAAATAAAGTGACTATTTATAATGGATATTTAATGATTGTTATTTTTAAAAATCAGCCTAGAAGTCTTACTTATGCATGACTTATCCATTATTCCACTCAGAACAATAAATGTCATCAATAAAGTGATAAGGGGTATATTTAGTGTATTTTATCCGATTAACTAGAAAAGCAGGACAGCTTCCTAAAGGTTGGATCTTCATTACTTTTAATCAGTAACTTTGAAATCAGTTGTAGTTTTTAGGTCAGAGCATGAACCAAATCTGAGGTGGTCAGAATGAAAATTCACAAATAGTCAACAAGCTATAGTACACAAAACCATAAGAAGCATATGCAATTAACTGGAATAATTTGTAATCTTATAATTGTCTTTAAAAAATAAAAGATAACACTCAAGTATTGGGTTGCAGATCCCTGGCTTGAGAGCATTTCATTTGAAAAGCCTCAAGGAACACATGTCCATTGTGATCTAAGATATTGGTGGCTGTTAAAAAAGTGAGTGGATTTGAGGTTGCGTTATTTAGCTTTCACTCATATTGGGACTTAGTGCCACTACCATTATCTTTTCTAGACTGAAGCCACCGAGGGTAAGGATACTGAATTTTATGTCCTTATCTCCAATAGCTAGCATTTCTAGATACTTAGCAGTCATCATCAAAATGTTTATTGAATGAATGTGATACAAAATGACCTTGGGTACTTTATGTACCCCTGAAGGACTTGGCACCTATCAGGAATTTGCGACAATTTATAAAAACTCATTAACAAGCTTAAGTGCAAAATAGCAAAATGTATTACAGAAAATAAGTTCTTGTCACAGAGCTAGTGTGTGGTGGGTGGGGAGGTGGCTAGGGAAGTGATAGCAGATTCTGCAGGGCCTTTTATGCCAACCTAGGGTTTGTACTGTTGCCTTGTAGGCAATAGAGATCCATCAACAGATTTTAAGCAAAGTATGTTCATATTTAATTCTGAGAGGGAATACTATGGCAGCGGGTCTGGGTATAATAAAATGAGTCTAGCAGCGGAGAGGCAATGGCCACAACTAAGTGACAGCAGGGAGGGACAGGAATAGGTACAAGAGATGGCAAAGCTTTAGGTTCCATAGGGAGTTATCACCAGTTGGATGAATAAAGAGAACTTCCAGAAATCTAGAACTCACAATTTAGACTCCTTCCCCTCTGTACCATGAATTGGAGTATTGCCGGTGAAGTCTTCTCATTTTATCCAGTCTACCTTGAGCCACAGGCTCCTCAGCTGTGAAGAGGGGATGAAAGACTAGACAAGAACACAGTTGAGTGCAAAACCAGAACGAGAAGCAGACCCTTTTCCAGTTTTTCAAAAATCGTTCCAGTAGTGAGGGGCCATAAAAGGATGAAAACTTTATATGAAATTCTGAACATTTAGAGATTGGGCATCTATACATCTGGCCCAAGGGCCACATAAGGCCCTCAAAACCATTTATTTGGTCTGGCCCTGCCAAGGCATTAGGGGTGAGTTAATTAAATGACCAAATATAGCAGGCTAATTTTTAAGTTGATAAAATTACATGGCCCACGAATGATGTTATAAATATCCAAATGGCCCTTGGCTGAAAAAAGGTTCCCCACCCCTGATCTAAAGCATCTCAGAGCTCTCTGATGAAGTCAAGTTGTCAAAAATCATGTACAAAAGAAGAAAAAACTGGCATGATAAAGGCCAAAAAGAGGAGAATAAGATGTATAAACGAAATGTTAAAGCTCAGAATTTGAAGAGAATGCTAAAGTTGCCAAGAAGGCATGGGGAAACACACACACAACAACAAAAAAAAAACCCAACAGCAAAAAAGAATGGATAAAACAGTAATGGATTAACAATCAGGAAAAGCAGAATAACTGAATTTTTATTTTTTTCTCTGACAAGGAGATACAGTCTGGCCACAAAGAAAATCACAGAACGAGAGAGAGGGGAAAATCTTGCCTCCTCAAATAATTTCAGGACTCTTAGGCCCAAACTTCAGTATTCCAGAGAGCTGCTGAAGTTACAAGTGCTTTTTCTGCTAGCAACTATTGGGATTTTTGAGAAACCATGGAGAACGTGAGGCAATAGAAGAGTAGAAATGGACATACAGTATTTCAGTTTTCAAAATAATTCTAGTAAAGGGTTTTACCTATTTTTCTGAATGAAAATCTCATGAACCAAACTGAAATGTTAGTAGTCTATATTTAGGGAAAAGATTTAAACAGGTGTAAAGAATAAAACAAAAATCAGTTTTTAAGTCCAATATTTAAAGACCCTGAGGACAATAAGTTGTTTCATGACTTAAAATTGTTTTATGCTGATTATAACTGTTTTATGTGTTCATTAAAACTGGTTGGATAGGACCTCTGCTTGGCAACTGTTATTTTTTTAAAACTGTGTTTGAAGTTTTGTATGTACCTCCAAGTAATAAAACTATATTTATAAAATATTTCTGTATTTGAGATATTACTAATTTACTTCATCATAAATAAATATATTGTGAACATTTTACTCAGAATACAGATAACCCAGAGTCACAAGCTTTTCCAGTTTGGTTTTTAGATTAATTGAATCAGAACGAGAAGCTATATGAATCCATGTGCCTTTAGTTGAAGTGTCAAAGCTCCCTCTTGCAGAACAACTGGGGAAGGCCCAGTCTGCCATTAGATAATAGGTTTTTGTATCACGAGGAGAGGAAAACTGCAGCTTACAAATCACTTCTCTAAAATGTCCCTTTTCCTCTCCCCTCCCCTACGTTTAGTTAATTCCTTCTATCCATTCTCCAATGCCTAGGACAGTGATCACTCCCTGTGGTCCAACAGCCCTTTGTGTGTTTTAGCGTACCCAGTCTAATACAAAGTTGGAAGGACATGTGCGCCTTTTCCTTATCACTGTCTGAGTGCCCAGGAAGCAGAACTCTGTATTCTCAGCAACCTAGTCCTAGAGCACTGTAAGTGATCAATAAATCTGACGGGGGGGGGGGGGGGGTGTCATATTACATAAGATGAACGAATGAATAAAGGACAAGGAAGCATCACCGTAACTGGAATGGACTCTGCTGGCTCATCTGTGAATCACAATTACCTGCTGTCACCTTTAATTCTATATCCTAAATTGGCTATGGGTCCTAAGTTTTAGCCTAGAATCTATTAAAATCTTACACTGTCTGAATGAAACGCAAGTGCCCCCTTGGGCAATGCAGAGTCCTGCAGAGGTGCTGGAAACCCCCATGAACACCACGTTTTCTATGAGGTAGATCTGACCCCTAGCTTAGTCACTCAGCCTTGGGGAAAGACACACTATACCGAGTTGACAAAATACATGGTATGGTTTATAAAACATTCACAATTCAGCAAGCATTAATTATCTACTGTTGCCAGGTTAAGGATATAACAGTGAACAAGAGACTGCCCATCATCACAGGGCTCAAAGTTAAAATAGATGGGTAAGAGGGTGATTCTAACAGAGCCCTGTAGGTGCTGTGCTGTGAGTTAACCACAGAGGGATGGAGGTGTGTGTAGCCTTGGGGTTAGGGGAGCCTTCCTACAGGAAGTGGTTTCTTGGCTAGGAACAGAAAGAGTTGGCTGTGTTTTCTTAAACACATCAGGCTCCTTCTCCCCCCACCCCAGGGGAGTTATAGTAGTAGAAGCTGTCACTGTTCTCTAATAGTAAGTACTATTATGGCAAAGTATTGCTGCCCTGTTGTTTCTCTCCCAACTCTGGGCCATTTGGGTAAAAAGTCACAGGCTTGCTGATCTGTGCTGTTTTACTTACTGGGATGGATGCTGAGGAAGAAGCTGTATGCTCTCTTGATGCCAAGTGTAAACTTGCCTCGGTAGGATCCGGTCAACCTTGGAAGCCTGATAACTACATTTGTTTTCTTGCCC